CGTGGAAGATATATAAAATGAAGAAAAAACATGTCTTTCTTGATTTTGAATTAAAGGCAAATGCCTTCAAAAATTAACATTCACTTATTTTCTTTTTTGCATATACATATATATCTTAATTAAGATACAATTATATTATACGATATATGCGTATATTGAAATTTTGTTATTTGGTTCAATTAAATCTCTGTTGCTAGCAAATTTATGAAATTGTGTTAATATTATTAAAAGTTCTCATACAGGTATTTATTTGAATCATTTTACTTGTGATTAAATATAAATATAATAACGTTGAATACGCATATAGATGCTGAAGAAGATAAATAGACTGCTAAACACCTATATAATTTAGAAATTTGTGCTATCCTAACTCATAAGGACTCAAGCTGCAAAGTTCTTGTTCCGATTGGAAGTTGAGAAACTCTATTAGCATAGCAAGAGTATCTGGAGTCTGTCGTATAATATAATAAATTATTACAGCACAAGTATTTGACATATAAAATTGTTAAACTAGGCTAAAAATTAAATAGCATAAAATTGAATCACTATTGTTTCACATTTTTTACAAAATGTAGACTATCATAATTTCAGTTGATAGCAAACAAGTTCCACAAATATTTCTGATACCGGTTATACGAATTGCATATTTGCATTATCTTAAAAGCGAACATCTTTTGTCTGATTTATGGACTGAGCTAAATTCTTCAGACTTGTTAAACTTTAATTAACTTGCCTTCATCCTTCATGTCCATGAATTCCACAACGAAATCTTCATCGCTGAGCAGCTCCAAACTCGCCGACCTCTCCAAGGAGTCTGCCTCCTCTACGCTTAAGAGCGTAATGCCTGAAACCGAATAAATACTTAGTCTACAGATAGATCTCGTTAATAATTCACTGACCATTTGCAAAGTTATCGTCATAGAGAAAATTGGGATCATCAAGCGCAAACAGCTCGCAACCCGTTGAGGGTGGCGAAACTGGCTCGACCTTGGGATCCCAGTAAAGTTCTTGGGGCAAATCCAAACTCTCCATTGTCAATGGTATTTTGCTGCTGCTGAAGGTGGTCATATGATGATGTCAAATCGGAATAAAAGCTTAACGGGATATCTTCGAAAGCTATTGAAAACGGTTCGATGGATGTGATGAACGCTGGTTGTTGTTGCGGTTGTTCTTGTTGTGAGGACGCCATGGTGGCTCTGAAAGCGGGAAAACAAAATACTTTGATTAATATAAATTAGTTGGCACTATTTGTCTGACCTGCACTGTACATAGGGCTTGCACATATTGATTAACAAACTATTAAATATATTAGAAACTGCAGCCAGACATAAACAAATCAAATCGCATGGCTAGACGACGTCAGCCTCACCAGCTGATAAGCCCTTTTGATGAAGCCCAAGCGCAGGTGAAATGCTAAATTATTTCGTTATCAAAATATTTTTGAAAATATGTTTTCTTTGATTATAATCCTATCGCGATAATCATATAATTTTGTATTTCTATTTTTAATTTTTGACCGAATATGCAAAATATCTCATCAACAAATAGCTGCCTGCTATAAGCAATGACAGCGCCATTGACGTGAATGTGCCGTAATTACATACATATGTACAAACATACATATACACTTAGGGCGATAATATTGCGAAGCATACATATTTGACTATGTGTGAGCGAGATGGCATGTAAATAACATGATTCACTGCCCATCACACGTGCTGTAGCATGTGGCAGGCTGAAATGGCATATGCCGCATTTCGACGCAATTTTGCAGCGGATTGCATCAGCCAATCTCACAGTTCCAGCTGCTGCCACTGTCCAGCTCTGTTGCATGCCACAAGCAGTTTGTAAACATTTATGCCACGTTACCATGAATCGACAAATCAAGCGAAATTCACACACACGCACACTATCACCTATAACTGTTTACAGACAACAAATCCGCAATCCACTTGCTTGTGTGCATGCATATGTATGTATGCATGTACTTGTGCATGGCTATGAGCTACTGTGTGTGTCCGTGTCTGTGTGTTCGCGTCCATTTGTGTGCGATATTGCGAAATTGTTGCACCTTTGTACACTTGCTTTAATGTTTAGATACTTACAGGTATTTTGTTAACATTTTCATAATTTTGTCTGTGTGGGCACTATCCGTGCTTGTGTTTTGTTTGCGTGCAAACTAGAAAGCCATTTTTATGTCCATATAAATGCAAAATATACGACAGAAAATATGTTGACCTTTTTGCGTTTCATTTGGAACGATACTGAACGCTTGCTCAGGATTCCGGAATCAACCTGGCTCCAAGTGAACTAATGTTAGTCAATAACAGCGACTCACTTGCTATCTGAACAGTGAACAAATTAGAATTCCGCGTAATTTTGAAATGATAATGAATCATATGCATTTATAAATTTATATTTCCTCCATTCATAGCAACCAAATTGTATGTACTTTTTTATTAAATTTAATATGTTTTGTGTCATTCAGCTATTGTTTATAATACAATATGTATATATATATATATATTTTTTTTTTAAATAAGTCAAAACTTTAAATTATATATGTTCGGTGTTGTTAGGTAAGATCATTAACATTCTGTTAACTTACCTTTCGTTAAGTGAGTAAATAGTTTTATGACGGTCAGCTTTCGTCATGCTGCTGGCGTACATCTGACTCTCACGCAATTTGGTATTTTTTAGCCAATTTTGGTGTTGTGTAGTCGCAGAGACAAATTAATTAATATGAGTGCTTAAATTTCAATTAATATTACGTGAAAACGCACGCTTGCGCGGTAAATTCGTGTTACGCTGTACGGAACTGAACGTCACTTGGGCCATTCTAGACGCGCCTCCAAACTAGTGAGTGTGTGCGTATGATTGTTTGTTTGCGATGTAACTACTGTAGCTGTATAAAAGCAGAGGTCAAAAGTGCACGCAGCCCAGAAAAAAAGGGGCAAATTACGTGGTCAGCGTATACAAATGTGACGTAAATGGAAGACAGCGCTACAAATATGCCTATTGGTTGTGGCCAATTGGCCGTAACATTAAACGAGCGTACTGTGGCCATTGTTTTTGTTATGCACAGCAAACGTATATCCAAAGCTGTGTGAGTGAGTATATATGAGTATGTGTAAATATGTGCAGGCGCAGCCTACGCCAACGACGTAGCCGAATGTTGTTTCTTCTTCTTCTATGCTTAGCCAGTCGCATTTAGCGCCAGAAAATTCCTATGCTGATAACGTCTATACGTTTGTGTGTGTGTGTGTGTGTGCGAGAGAGAGCTGAAGCTGAGACACACGACTGTCTGAGAGAGACGGAGCAGGCGCACCCGAGAGAGTGTAAGTGAGATAGAGAGAGAGAGAGTGAGCACAAGCTGCTGGCGTCAGCTGTTTTATGTTTTGATTGTGTGTGCAGGGCAATAATAAACGCAATCGCACAGGTTTTGTTTTTGTTTTTTTGCTTTTCAGCTTGAGTTCTTGAGTTGCGGCGAGCCGCCGATCAGTACCGTTCGTGAAATTGAAAAGTCATCAACAGATGCCGCGTGCCAAGCGCAAAGCAAGAAATTAAAGTCTACTAATAATTCACACAAGCTTTTTCATTATCAGCCAATTAACTGACGTCGCATTTCTAAATAGTTGCGCTCTTTGCAAATGCAGGCGTATGTGTTCATGTGTGCGTGTGTTTGTGTGTGTGTGTGTACGTAGGCATTTCTATGTGTACGTGTATGAGTGAACTGTGACGCGCTAAAAGCGGGGCGTGTTTGCCATTAGAAAGAAAGAAGAAGAATCAACGGCTAAGCAAAAACAACAACAAAAGCGATAAGTGGTCTAAACAGCAACACCAACAACAACAAAGAAGAAGCAAGAAAATTTAAACAAAACGCAATAAATGTGGCAGAAATTAAGAAAATTTGTTAATTAATGAATATCTACCAAAAAGCTAAAATCAAATAAATAAATAAAAGTGCAAATTAAAGAAACAGCAGAACAAACGAAAATGTACAAACCAAAACCACATAAATTGTCATAAATAAAGCAAAGTGTTAATTGAACCATTTTTCAAACTGAAATTAAATTGTTAAGTTTTATAGAGAAAAGAAATATACCGAAGTTAGCAGTAAAAACGTAGATAATTCAAATTTACAAAAAATAATAATAATAATAAAAACCTTATAATTAAATGTGCCAATCAAATTAATTGCAGAGCTAAATAAATTTATTGCAATCACATAATGCATAGCATAAACGTGAGCTGAGAAAACCTCAGATTTATTCGCACCTGGTCACACTACAAAATCCAAAATACAAAAAAGTTAATTTTTATTTTCTTAATCCAACAAAGAAACGTAACAATTAGTCAAAGAAAATGATGTTGAACAAATACGAAATCTATCAACGCACAAACAACATGTTCCAACAACAACAATTACAGCTCCAACAGCAACAACAACATTTACAACAACAGCATCAGCAGCAGCAACAGGCATCGCAGCAAGCATCGCTGCAGCTCTCCCACTCGCACCCGCACGCCATATCCTATCTGGATAGCGCTGCCAGCAGCAACGCCGGCAGCACTGCAGCAGAACTGGCCGCCATGTTGGCCGCCAGCAAAGCGGAAAGGGAGTCCATACATTCGGGTCAATTTATGGTCTCACACTTTGAGGCCGAAGAGGCGCAAGATGATCTAGAGGATGATGGCGAGGTGAAGATGTTGGATCCCGAGGATCCGAGTCTTGATAAACCTGGCGCCGCGGCTAATACCTGCCGCGATGTGCAGCTATATGTGCCCCAGAAAGTGGCACAGTTTCCACGCATGGATCTGGATCGCGAATGCGATGATAATAGCATGGGCATGAGCATCACATCCCACCTGGAGATCGAGACGTCGCTGACCAAGCTATTCAAATGCATGAATCTGGCCTATAGGTAAGTGCCAAGCCAAACCAAGCCAAGGGCCACGCGCCAAGCGCGTGTTAACAAACAAACATCATATTTTAAGCACTAAACTGGGCCGAAAAGACGCCTCGGTCCGCATAATCGTTCCATAGCACATGTTGCTGAGACGCTGACTTCGACGGCGACGCCAACGGCGGCGCGTCGCTGCTCAAATTACCTTTAGCTTTAATCGCTGTCTGTCTTTTATGCGGTGTCTTCTATTTCTGCAAACGCTTGCAAATGAACGAAAAAATGATTTAAAAAAAAAGCAGAAATAATAAAATAAAATACAAGTATAAAGTAACAAGGAAGATATATGAAATATTAATTCGGGAAAACTGAAACGTGTAACCTTATCAAGTCAATGACTTATTGATACCCTAGAAATAAATAGAAACAAAAAATCAAAGTCAATAGTTAGGAAATGATGTATACTCTATTAAAGATTAACTACTACCATATTTTACTTTCTGGAATAATCAGATGATAGATAGTGCACACAAAAATCCAAACCCGGATCCTGTTAAACATTTTTCTTTTCTTCTTTTTTTAATGTGTGAAAACTTTTTGTAGATTAAAAGATTATGCTAATTACCTTAAGAATTCCGATAATCATTTATTTTCTTTTAATTAATTAATAAGAGAAGTTTGCACAAATCTACAAATTTGTTATCTAACTGAAGACTAAATATTATTATGAAAATATACATGATTTGATTTATTGCATATATCCAGAGAATACTATGGACCTCCATATATCAAATAACTACTATAAAGTAATTAAATAATCATCGTTCATACTGTAGACACTCAAACTTATAAGGTATATATATCTAGGTAGCTTTTCTAAGCAAAGGCTAAATATGCCCATCCTCATATCTACAAATATTTATAGCACTAGATCCACGCGAACTCTATGTCAACAAAAGACCAGATAAAAATTTGTTTGCCATTTTAGATAACCCGGGTGCGGTATTTAAAGCACATTATTGCCGTTACTCCCATCTTCGTTCTGTTGCAGTCAACAAGATTGAGAAAAATTACGTCTAATTTTATATATATTTTATATTTCTGTATGATTGTATGATCCAAAATGTTTACTTTTACATTTTATACATTTATCGCACATATTTAATATATGTACTCGAGTTTGGTGAAAAATTCAAGTCAAGTGAAGAAAATTAAATTACTTATATCCCCCATTTCATATACATATAGATTTATTTTTATTTATTTATATATATTAAATATAAATTTGCTTGTAAAGCACGTACCCGTTATTAGCGCTTTGTTTTGATTTGCATTATTTTTTCTTCCCTTTGCTCAAACTTTTTACAGAGTCAGCTAGTTTGTTTATTATGGCGTATTTATTTTTCGATAGGTAGAAGAACTGGGCTATCCGGCATTGCATGGCGATT